GAAGGGCTAATTCTTAATAAGATCATTTCAAGTCGTTATATTGAGACTAAACGACCGCCATTTAATGGTAACACATTAATGTTTTTAAAAACTAGAGATGTCGAGAGTGAACAGTATCAACTTATCTGGATGAGTGCTTGCTTCATGGAGTTTACCATTCCACAAAGAAACTCACCTTGTTCGAAAGGCGTACAACCTCAAATGATGAACCCATTCGTGCAGGGAGAAAACACGACTCTGTGAGTACATGAGCATAGTATTACTGTAACTGTTCAGCTAAATTCTACTCACCCGGCGTAAAGGTGAACAAGGCTTCCTGTTTCAGCATAACCAGTTAATAACGCTCTGGAACTAATCTTGCTAATCTATTTCTACGCCATCTACGTCTTTCGTTAGAATGTTCATCTGATTTGGCTGTGAGAGCCACTAGCCAAGCCTCTTTAGAGAGACATTTTTAAATGATTATTGTCACATTGCATCGTGGTAACAAAAGAGTTCAATTCGTAATGTTTACTATAATATCCTCGGTCTTAGACGCTGGTAACTCAAGTACACGTTGATTTCGTTAAGAAACTCATTCTGTCCCAAGATCTTTTACACATTTGTACACGTTTTGGAATATTTGACCTTCAAACTACTGTTACGAGTAAACCAAGTGAGAAACAAAGAGAGAACACGTTTGCGGAACTTTGTCTTATACGAGTAGTGTGCTCATAAATCAAGATCGCTCTGATACACTGTGTACTCAAGCACAGTTTAGTAGAAATCAGAAAACGGAAGTACAATTGAGAATGGGATTAGTGGTCCACTGGATGTGCCGTATTTTTGAGGATCTTAATAAAAATAAAAAACAATATAATGATGGCCTGGATAGATGAGAATATTGTGTCCATCTGTTCAGCGAATGTAGTGCAATATTGAATCTCAAACGAGATAAGGTTGTCAAAGTGAATTTCATTCTAAAAATCTAGTTACCATGAAAGACATTCTTTCCTTTTAAGTATTCACTACTAAGATATGTAAAATTGAACAGCACCGGTTTCAACCACATTTCCGTAGCGTGTCTGGATTCATTTGACAGCTTTCTCCGCCTAACGTAGCAAGTTAAAATTGTATACCAGCAGACTAACAGAAACCCGGAGACAGGATTTTGTTGCTAACATCCGGATGAACGTGACCTTTACAAACGAAGTATCGCAACCCAGTTAACCCTACACCGAATATAAGCCGACTGAGACTGCATGTAAATATTGGGCGCGAAAGAAATGTTTGCTGTTGCCAGATGTGGTATTACATGTCAACATAAAACGTTCAGTGTATGATTGAAAAACATCTTTTGAACGACCTGGCTTCCAATCGTTTATTTGGTTGAGGAAATCACACCAAAGAACTTACCAGATGATAAGCGTGGCGTGGAAACTTTGTCTTCTGAAACCTACTTGTACACGTGTAAGCGGCATGTTGTATGCTTTCCCAGTCATCAAACCACAGTCATAAATTTGTTGACCACTGACCACCTCACAGTATGGTCAAACATTTCAACTAAACTAAGCATAGAAAGGTAAATTATGATGTGAAAAACTGAACAGTTTCGAAACATGTAGAGAAGGTGATCGACCGAAACTATCTAACTAATTGAAGACAGACGCGGGAGAAGTATATTATCTGGGGAGAAGTATGGCTGATGGGAGAAAATTTCATAGCACGATACAGCTTATTCGTACTCGTTAATGAACTTTCCAGGTTGTGGATGAAGTCACGCAATCTGACACATCCGATAAAAACTAACATGCGAAACTGACTGATGGGATCAACAACGACGAGGTGTAAATCAGAGGAATAAAATGAAAACTGGGCAGCAGGAAATGAACCAGAGTACGACTCAAAACACATATAATAGGCATATGTCAACATACAACCAAAAACATCTGAACGGACGATGTTCTAATGGGCAGACTTTGGGTTTAGTCTATCATAATGCTTCCAGTGATCAGACTACCTGGCGCATAGGTTTGATTTCCAAATGTGCGCTCTTAACTTACATCTGAAACTAACAAATGACGGAGCTATTACAAAACATTATGGTTAGGGTTCCAGAACAAACGAACCCAAGACCTAAGCGTGTGTTGCATGTGAGTCTAGCAGCCAGGCTGACATCTTCATCGCGACAGGATGATAGTATGTGACAAACGAGGACAATCCGCGAACCGACATTTTGGGTTACAGAGAAACTAATACGCAGTTTTGCGCTTGTAGGCAATTCAGAAAGGCATATTCCAGTCTAAGCAGCTCGTTAACTGTGACAACAACCAGAGTACTGTGACTTTATTGCGTTTTGTTATGTCTATTCATTGTACTTCTTAAGTGAGGCACCATAACCGGAATAAACCTTACTAACAAAATACCCGGTCTGAAAGGCAAATATAGACAACATTCATTCTTCGGCCCGCTCAATTTCCGACAGAATTGGCTGTGATGTTGACATTCATCGTGCTCGCGCGACAATTGAATATTGCCTCATCGGTACAATCCTGATTCTATGATTGTGATTTGTGACACCAGTTCACGAAATGTAAACGTTGGTGTAGTTCTGACCTGTAAGTACAACGATAATTTTTGTTTGTTTTCCACTATGCTTCGAAAATTTGTTTTCTCTTTTAGTCCAGTAAACTCCATTTCCCAATCACTCTTGAGCAAGCCTACGCTCATGTTTGTTATCCAATCACTGCGATCGAATAGTCTTGCTTCCCAACATGTAGCTTTGGAATAACCGGCTTTTATATCAAGTTTACATACATCAATCTTGCGTATGAATACCTGAAGACAATAGCCAGCTCAGTCTGTAGTATGTCTTCAGAGATCTGTCTGTCATTCCTGGATTTCACAAGCTGCAGCAGTCTCAATCGTTTCTGAATATAAACGCTCGAAATGTATGCTTTATTCAAGAGGTCTTTGTTCAAAGGTTGATTCACGGCCAATATTGCCTCGGTGTGAAAGGAAAGTTGCCTATGATTGTCGGGCGGAGGTGCTGTCTGTGCACCTTCACCCCAAATTCGCATCAATGGAGATGTCGAGAGCTGCACAGACTTCTGCTACTTGGGCATCAATCTGTCCACTGATCTGTCCGTGGACTGCGAGTTGAGAGCTCGTGTGGCAGAGGCTAGTACTGCTTTCGGACGTCTTGAAAGACGTCTTTGGAAGAACCACAGCCTGAAGCCGAGCACCAAGCTCTTTGTCTACCGCTCAGTGGTGTTGTCTATACTGCTGTACGGCAGTGAAACGTGGACATTGTATCAGCGGAACGTGCGCTATCTCAGCCGCTTTCATTTACAATGTCTAAGACGCATCTTGGGTATTTGGTGGTCGGACATGGTTCCGAACACTGAGGTACTGCGGCGAACGGACATGAACGGGATGGAAGCCTTGCTGATGTTGAATCAGCTTCGCTGGCTGGGTCACGTCTGTCGGACGGGCGATCACCGTATCCGGAAGCAGGTGCTGTATGGACAACTGAGATCAGGTAAGAGAAGTCCTGATGGTCCAAAGCTGAGATACCAAGATGCTGTGCAGGTAGGTCTTTCACGTTGTAAAGTTGATTTTAGATGTTGGGAGACTTAGCGTTGAACCGGACTGCTTGGAGGAATACAATTCGGACGGGCGTCCGCGAGTTCAACGAGCAGTCACTGCGTTGCCAAGAACGAAAGCGAGCGGCACGCAAGGGAATCTTCAGTGTTACAGGTCGTGGTAACATGACTATATGGCGTTGCGATGTGTGCGGCCGCGAATGTGCTGGTCGTCTGGGATTAGTGGGTCCTCAACGTACTCATAGCGCACCGTCGGCGAAGAGACAACGAGTACGCTAGGCTCAGGTAGGTCGTGTTAGCATGTCTGTTCTGTTCTTGTTAATGATTGCATCGACCAAGTCCATGGTCGTTTGGCAACTAATCTGCTTCTCTTTTCAGAAACGTGAGTGTCTGCAGTCTCCTACCTATTCTTTTCTTGCGTTTTGTTGACGTATTGAATGATGAATCGTCTATCTGACCTTTTCGTGGTTCAGCTTTGCGTTTTATTTTCAACTTTATCCTCTCTGGAATGCAATAACATGCACACGTATATTGAAATGTTTCTTGTGTTACATTTCACACAACTTTCTTCCTAATATAGATCTTGTCATTGCAGTCTCTCTCACTGTTTATTTTTCCAGAGATATGGGTTTCTTTTTCCTGCTAGCCATTCAGTTGGTTAATCAGCATTGGCCGGCTGGACACAAAGACCTCACTCACACACCTACTGGTCTTATTCCTTCGGGTTTACACCGGATACGTGGTGTGTGAGTGGAACCGCAAGTGGTGCAGCGCAAGCCACTTGGGGTGATGGTTTAAAGCGCAGGCGTCCTTTGGCTTCGGTCATTGTGACAGGCTAATCCGTTTCAGATGTCGCCAACCAAGATAAAAGAATGTTTCATCATTTCATCAGTGTGTTTACCGCCGTCACTATTTGGATTGCTACTGATGTCTACGTTTATTATGCTCGCTATTCCGGGCTGATGGTCGGTGCAAACTCTACGCATTCAAGTAGGTGGCTGTTGACAAATCTCAGCTAGGGTCTCAACCAGGGTCACATCATTCAAGACCCATTGCTCTGCAGAATTAATTTATCTGTGTTCACTTCCTACAGTTGATTAACGGTGACCGAATCGTGTTTAATTTTTCCCCACGAATAAATTTCGAATGAATTGCAGAGCAGCCGAATATATCACCGTTTGAAAAAAAAACAATATTTGCAAATTTCATGGCTGATTTATCACGATATTCCCCTTTATAAATGATAAGGAAGAAAGTTTACAGTATGTTATTGTGCCGAATGAAATTCCCTGTATACACGTAAAAAGTTGCAATCAACCTGTCCACTTTTGTGGACGTCCGACCTCGACAAACAATGCATATATAACCGGAACTGACAGTTATCGTTTTTAGATTGGACCAAATTGTAAAAAATTAGGGCTTCGGCTGGATTCGAGCCAACGGCAGAAACATCATGCCTCAACGCGGCAAGCACTCTACCAGCTAATCTACGAAGCCACACCAGGAACTCGGAAATTCCACATTTGGACCCGGTTACCCACCCTTCCCACTGTTTCATACGGAATCCACCAAATGATCCAAGGGATCGACTGCCCCGGCAGGATTTCTTGAATCGTTCACGCTAGAATCCATAAACTTCACTGTTCAGCAGGGCTAGAATCCAGTCGAAGTCCTGCCTTTTCATAATTGGGTCTCATCTTAAATCATAGATCTGCTAAACTACTTACTAGTAATACAATCATGTTTTTATCAGCACATTCGTTGCACATCGGATGACGTTACTCACAGTATTCTTCTTTGGGTTGACTGAAGTTAAAAATCGGAGTATGCAACTTGTGTTGAGTTCAGTCCGAATGCACTAAGTGATAAATAATTTCACATGCATTGTCAATTTGTATAAACGCAACTATGCTTAACAGCAACCCAACCGTTGACAACCCTATCGATTAGAATTAAATAGCTAGTTACTATGGTTGTCTGCTTGTTCCACTGCATATGGATTGACAATAATGACGGAACTAAGCTAAATGCAAAGACAGACGGAGTTTTTGTCATAAGTGTTTCTGATCGTCTTGTATTATCTGGCAAATGTTTAATACAAAAACTGGATGCAGAAACAACCTTAAGTTTAGAATGTTTTCCCTCAATGTGTTTATAGTTATGTCAACATTTTCCAGTTAGTTGCCTAAGAAAAACTAAATGTAGAAACAAATAATCACAAACTTGCGAGGTTACAAACTGAACTTAACTCCAGTCAATCAGGGTTGACAGGATGGTAGCGGTCTGTCATCAGTCAATGTTGTAACAGTTTACTTGGACTTTCCGTCAACCCGCTCACATACCCGATGGCAGGTAGTGTAAAACCATTCTGTTCAATTTGACCTTACTGTTCAGTTCGTTCAAACAACACAATCTGTTTCCATCTACAAGTAAAATGGTCTAAACTGACAGTTGGAATTTTCCACTTCTCTCTTACCATTTAAACATTGTTTCGACTGGCCAACGCTTTTCAAGAACATTCATGTTTTCGGCACTCGGTTGAAATGATTCATGTTAATGCGTAAGAATAAACAGATGCGGAATTTCTAGCGATCCTGAAGATCATAATAATTCACGACCAATCAACAGATATATAGCCATTGATTAAGTTCACATCGGACTGTGTAGACGTACAGTTAATCTTACACCTTTTCTATAACAACTAAATCGTCATAGTTCACCATGTTTGTTATGGCTAAACATATGAAAACATTGTAACCCTGCATGCAAATTGGCATGGCCTGTGAACCAAGGGTGTTCTTAAAAGAATATACATCTACTGATTCCCAATAAACTACATTTGACCAACCCAAACTTTCAAAGAAAACCATTCTGTGCACTTTAGTAAAAGTAGCTGACTTTGGTAATCAATGTGTTTAGCTAAAATTACGTTTCAATTTATAGTAGTCAAACTAGACTCAGGTTATCAAAGAAATTCCGACAACCTATTCTTCACTAAAAAAATTAATTGATCGTACTGCGTTAACAGTGTTACTTTTACTTGAACAAATTTGCGTAGAAAATAAACAGAAAATGTCAAGAGATTCGATCCGTAGCAGTTCGTTCTTCAGAGTTCGATCAGAAGACAAGCTTTTTCAAATGCATCATCTCATGGTCGAAATAATGGTGAGTCTTCATTTTATTGTGAGATCATACTTGTCAGCACAACCCAGCTAGACAAGAAACTTAATGAAAGGTTTGTTGTGAGAATAAACACTTTATGCAAATCTCATAGAATATGAGTTTTTGTCTAATCTTGCCAAGATGTCCATTTCTCCAGACATCAGTTCTGCGAAAAGCATTTTACGCAAGGTGAAAGGTAGACCATGTATATACTCAAGGTTCATTACATAGGTTAGGACGTGTTTGCGCTTCAAAACTAGCGCAAAATAATCGAATCTTTGAACCACTCACCTTGTAACTGTTTCCTCTGAGACGCCCACAACGAAATGAATACAATCAGTAGTACTAATAACAGCACCAATAGTACCGAAAGTATGCGGATCCAAATTAACTGACTTCGACGACCAAATGGATGAGTACGATGTCTGGATATCCATACGCGTGGTGTCCTACCGTTCCCTCTGTCGACTACTTCATCGGACACATCATTTTCTGCATTCGAACTGGCCCCAACTTGATGGAAAGGAATGCAGTCTTCGCTCACACAGTTGATTTCCTTGTTCTTGCTAGGATTCATCCGATTACCTGGTTCTGTCATATCGACATGTGTACGATCGTTTGCTATGCTTCTCCGTTTTGAGAATTGCGATTGGTTGCGCTAGAAAATTATAGTCTCAACAGTTAATTGTAAAATTTGGAGTCCAGTTAAACTGATAAATATGACTTTCTACTGATCAGGTTTAGAAAAGACTCATCGCAGTTCACGTGACCTGCTGTGTAATGGAACATATTGTGTTGAACATTAGTGTGTAATCCCTGCCGACAGCAGACCCTTTTTATGGGTATTTGTAGCTTCTCCTCACGCTCGCAGTTACAAGTTCATGCATGCTCTCCTGTTGTTGATCTTCATACATGAAACTGTCATTCTATTGGTGGTTACGCAGCCTCAAATACAACCGCCCGACAGAATTTGATTCATTTGATTGGGAGAGGTGGCTAACCAAGCCGAATTGGCCAATCAGCGATAAGTAGACGGAAGGACATGAATCGATAGGCTCACTGGCTGACTGACTGGTCGAACACTGACCCTGGAAAGCGGTACGTCATTCGACGCAAAATATTTTTCTCACTTATCTGTCAACAAAAAACAGCGATAGAACGGTTTGGGTTATATCAAAGTCCATCTAAGCTACGAGTAAAACTGTGTGGTTATATTTACTCACGTTTATCGTACGGATAACCTACGCGATAGGAATATAGTTAGCTGAGAAGAAAGAATACGAAGCTTTAAGGTTCGAAAAACAAGTAAAATACACAAGGATATATGCGTTTACATATAGGTTCACAACTACTACCTTTGTAGCGGTCACGTGCCTGGTTGCAATGTTTTACTGCAACGAGCATTTCAACTTCGAGAAATTGCTGTTGAATTTGGAAAACAAACACAATGTTTCCATTTAAAAGTGTCCCCCTTGTCTGACAGATAATTCTGTCAGAGCAAAAAGAAGACAGCTTGTTTGTTATCATCAGTCACAAAAGCAAAACATGCCAGTTATATACATCATGCAGATATGTACAAACAGAGACCAGACACACATGTAAGCACATCAAGCATTATGTAGTCATGACCATGTCAATTCGATAGGTTGCTTCAACCAATTTTGCGCACATACCATCGTCTGGTAAGTTTGGTTAAGCTTCGTTTCGCAGAAATACAGTAACTTCGGGTTACGATTGCACAACAGTGCCTTGCATAAGTTTACTGGATCAACTTGGTGAAATGTTGTCATGAGACGTTTAGCAATCGGTGATTTTGAATTTTGAGCAGTCAGTTCGGCAAACGAGACTGGCGCATGCTTAGTTGTTTCAATCATTTTGGGATGTGTTGGGCCACTCGCTCTGATAGATGTGGGTCTGTTCTGCCTAAGGAAACGTCTTTACAACTGCAGGTGAACTGGTGCACAACATGAGAGACAGAAGAGTTTGAAAAACTACTTCCGTCACTACGGAGAACTGGTCGTGTAGTTGCTTGAGCTAAGAGCAAATTCACAGCCTCATATGTCTTAATCACAGTGGACTTTAGTTTGTGCATGATACCGTTGGCCAGCTGGTCGCTTTCGAATAGCAAAACAGGAGAATATCTTTGTTTTGAGCTGTATATATGCGGTTCATTGCTCTTATCCACCCGATTATATTCCTCGATGAACTTTTGAAGGTATCGATTTCTGAATGAAGTTTGTCCCGTTAACTCCTGTTCTGTTTGCAATCTGTGATAAATAGCTCACACATTACATAATTCACCTGACTACACAAATTACAAATACCAAGTTACCATACAACTTCTGCATACCCAGATTACACTTCGTGCAGCCAACTAATAAGTACACATTTTGGAGTGAATCAAAGTAGTAAAACATTTCCCCAAACCCACTGCAGTGAAATGAATGTTCGAGGACGGCAATATTCATAAAATAGATAACAGACCCAAAAAGTGCATAAACCAAAAAAAATAAATGAAGCCTTTTGCTGATGCTGTTACGACCGACGTCTACCACAGCTGCCCAGAAAACTCTGTTTTCTTCAGGTTAACGAAAGTTTTCATGCGTATACTCCTGTAAAATGTTTCGAAATTCGTTCTACATTATGAGGTTCCTTCTACTAGAGTCAAACATCCGAAATGTCACCCAAGTTTTTATGATAGGAGAAAACCGCGGATTTCGGTCCTCATCAGTGATGGAACGTTACAGGAATAAATCACTGAACGATTTGACATCTTCGTACTAGGTACATCGATCCACGTTGTTGTGACGAATTCAGTACCTAATTATTCTCGATTGAGATCATGTTTCATTACACTAATGTGACTATCACCCCGCAACACTGGTGGGAGCCCTTATGTCACTGTGGTCATTGAAATTCTACTGCTAGGCTGTCTGATTTTTTCAGACAGATGTCATCCTTCACATTAGTATGATAATAACTGGTATGTCCATGCTTTGTCCATAATTTGCTTCTTGAGGTTTGTTTTGTTAACCTCGTCCACTACGCTACAAATGTAGAAGCACATGGTTTGATTGTCCGAGTAGTACAAATCCGATTCAAGGTGTTACCCAGGAGACGTATTTTTTCCCCAGCAAATTTGTTTCCACAGGTTAGCATCACTACACTGTATGAAGAATTAAGGCATACAAATTGAGACGGGATCAAATTACAGCTGCTTAACGCTTCGACGGTCAAAGATTGTCTTACGAAATCCCTACGTAGCGGCATACTTGGCTATGTTTCGCTCACAGTTGAGGTCGTTTTACAACTGAAAGATCAAAGATAGCATGTAA